TTCGCACGGAAGCGAGTGAATTTTTTCACCCGCTTTCAACTCAGCAACCAGGAAAACTGAGAGGCTGAAGTTTTGAGGGCACATTCCGGCTCTAAGTGTCACCATCCCGTTTTAAAATATCTGCTCATACGCGCCTAAATCTCGCATACAGACCCCCGAAAAAATATGCACACCTTTTAGTGGGGAACAATTTCGTGATCCAGACAAGACAGAAAGCTGAAATTTTGTAGGGATATTCCCTATGCATGTGTTACCTAAAGATTTCAAATTCAGTCACCAACTATGCGTAGCACTCACATAAGAGCATATGAAAGCTTCTGCGGGAAAATTACTAACTCGGGAACCAGGAAGCTGAAATTTCAGGGGAATGTTCCTTGTCCAAGTACAACTTGAGTATTTCAAATTCAGCCTTGAGGTATGCGTGGTTCTTACGTACGGGCACTTAAAATTTTGACTGAATTTCTGACTGAACTACTTACTTTTAAAAAGCGATCGTTAAATGGAAATTGTGCATTTGCTTTACGCAAGATTTATGGCGATTTATGCTAGTGGCCGCAAAAAATAGGTGTAAAGCAACAACCATTCATGTATTTAATAACCTGAGTACTTCAAGTCCGGTGCAAAAACGCATGATCGCGCAGGCCTGCCCGGTGCGTTCCAGCCTGGACTTCAGTGAGCAAGCACTCGTCGGTAAAAAGGCCGGGCTTCATGCAAAAAACTGGTAATCATGTACGCTGGAAGTCCACACGGTCTCGAAATTCAATACCTTCATCCTATCCGACGCCCTTTTCCCCTGCATGAAGGAAAAGCAATGCCAGTACAACTGTTAAACTGCAGCGTAGGGACCCATTCCTGCTGTTAACGATCTCCAAATTTAGTGCAAAAACGGGTGTTTGCACTGGCTAAGCCGGTGCATTGCAGCCTGGGCTTATCTCTCGTGCCGTTTCGCCACTGGTATTGATAATGCAATAGTTGGGCGAGGATGATGAAATTGTTGGTAATAAAGCTGGATAAGTTGGAAGGCCAGTTCGTTTCTTCTGTTTTCAGTGAGAGCATGACTGTGACAAGTACGGAGTGAGTGGAAGAAGGTGGGGGAGGTTACGTGTAGCAAAGGTAATGCGTAGCGTATTTACGTTGGTACTCATTTTCTAGTTTATGTTTCATTTCATCGCGTCCCTGGAGATTTCTTGCCAGAAGCAAACACTAGTGAATACTGATATTTTATCAGTTTAAGGGTTGATATGGACGCAGAAAAATTCTGTCGATTATTCAGAAACTCACTCTACAAACACTCGCGCATTTTGGGTAAATTATTTATATTTTTTCACTCAGTATACTGTGCAAAATGAGCTTGCTAGTTTGCATGCACTCTCGTCCTCGTCAAGTACCGATACAATTTTTAGCATTTAATTTCCAAATTTTATAGATCCTGCAATTCTAATCTGTTTTATCGTTTGTTTTTTAAATTCCCCATATACCTTCAGTGTGCATGATTATTAGTGTTTTGCATGGAGCCCCATCGTTTTTATGCGTTTTTGCCTATATGCAAATTGCAAAAACGCATATTGAGACGACCCCGTCTGTGTGTGCAATGTGTGTATGTGTGTGTGTATGTTTGTGTGTATGTTTGTGTGTGTGTGTGTGTTCGTCTGTCCGGGTATTTCAACTCGGCAACCAAGCAAGTTCCAGCGCCGGGTTTTGCTAATGGGTACCCCGACCAAGTACCACCGCAGAACCGCGGTACCAACTCTCATGCACGTCTGGGCCCCGCGTACGAGGTAGGCAAAGTTTTGGCGGGAAAATTAATAACTCGGGAACGGGAAAAGATAGAAGGCTGAAAGTTTAGGAATATGTGCCCATACCATGCGTGACCTTCCCATTTTAATATCATCCCCTGCGGACGCTTGGGCGCCGGGTACGGGCCCCTTAAAAAAATATGCAAATTTTTCGACGGGAGAGCGATCTCGGGAACCACACGAGCTAAGGGGCTGAAACTTTGTAGAGATATTCTTTGTGCATGTACTGGCTAGTGATTTCAAATTCACCCTCCAGGTATGCGGGGCACCCACGTAAGAGTGTATGAAAGTTTTTAGGGGAAAATTGCTAACTCGACAACCAGGAAAGCTGGAAGGCTAAAATTTTACGGGAGTATTCCCTGTCCAAGTACAACTTAAATATTTCAGATCCAACCCTCAGGTTTGCATGGTACTCAAGTAAGGGCGTATAAAAGTTTTAAAGGGAAAATTACTAATTCCGATACCAGAAAAGCTGGAAGGCTGAAATTTTCAGGGAATGTTCCCAGCCCATATACGACGACTTAAAGCTAACAAACTCAGCCCCCAGTCATCCGTGGTTCTCACGTATGGCCCTGTGAAATTTCTTGGCGGGAAAATGACTAATTCAGGAACCAGGAAAGCTGGGAGGCTGAAATTTTCAGGGAATGTCCCAGGCACAAGTACGACATAAACCTATCAAATTCAATCCCCAATCATACATGGTTCTCATGTACGGCACCGTGAAACTTTTTTGACGAATAAATGGCTAACTCAGGAACCAGAAAAACTGGGAGGCTAAAATTTTAAAAGAATGTTCTCAGCCTGCATACAACTTAAAAATTCCAAACCCAGCCCCCAAGTATACTCCTAGGTCACGTGCGGC